GACACACACAGACACACACACACACAGACACTTACTGTTTGACAGCTCTCTTCCGAAGATCCTGGATGTAGTTGATTCTCTCTATAGGATGCCCTCGAGCTCTGTTGAACACTGGAGAGAGACAGGTCTGAGTGAGAACAACGCTCTGTACAACTCGTCTGTGGGGTTGCAGAGCATTTAAACCCCTCAGGAAGGATTTGAACCCCTTCAAGCAGGACTTGGACACTCAGGTCACACAGGTGATTCTACTCAGCATACCACCCTGTGCAGGACAGCTTGTGACAAGGCAGACACGCAGGCAGAGCTGCGCTCAGTGCCTCCCAGGTTCACTCAGACCCTCGTTAGCTCCACACTCAGGCCACAGATTTAATTTCTTCTTTCTAATTACCTCAAAGAACCCCCAACACCTCCCCTCCTCCAGCTCCCATTCTACACGACAGGAAAACACACACACACACACACAGAGCTAAAACACAGTCACCTCCCTGGAGCTCACCCAAACCTTTCAACCATCTAAAACAACAAGTCCACGGTAAAATATTTGGCATCTGAACGAGAACGACACCCACGTACGTACACTCTATAGCAGTATTTGGCTCCATGCCTTCAACATCAATCAGGTACCTAAAGAGATCAGCAAGAAAGCTTGAATTACACAATGAACCATGGAAACATCGGCAGGGTAGTGATGATTCAAAAAGAAAGAATAACCAGGAAGTTTTTAAAGCCTCTATTTACAGCCAAAAAGGACTATCAGCATCTGATCTGCTGAAATCGAGGCTAAAAAGTGTCCCTGAACAACCTTCTCGAAGCTGAAAAGCTTTAAATCCTGGTAAGTTTAGGACTATGCAGGTCACGACTCTTTTTACTGGTGCAAAACTATTTTCTCCTGGAGCAATAAGAAGCTGGCAATGCCACCCCTTAACTCACTCAGAACAAGGACAACTCACCTACAGACCAGGTAGCCAGTTCTGTTCAAACCATGAGTGCAGTGAACTCCGATGAGTTTATCTGCAACACACAACAAGCGGGTGATACTGAAACGCTCCTTCTCCAAACCAAGTCCATTTGCATTCATCCTCCAACAGCGACATCAGCGTAAACAATGGGCAACTGATGTCATCTACCCGGAGCTGTGCAAGGCGTGTGACACCGTCCTGCACGACATCATTGTCTCTAAGTTGAAGAGACATGGACTAGATGGATGGACCACTCAGGGGATCAGGAGCTGGCTGGATGGTCGCACTAAAAGAGCCACAGTCAATGATTCAGTGTCCAAGTGGTGTCCCTCAGGGGTCAGTGTTGGGCCTGGTGCTGTTCAACATCTGTGCTGGTGACACAGACAGTGGGAAAGGCTGTGGATGTGCTGTGCCTGGGCTTCAGTAAATCCTTGGACACTGTTTCCCACAGCATTCTGCTTGAGGAACTGGCTGCCACTGGCCTGGACAGGCAAACTCTGCTGGGATAAAAACTGGCTGGAGACATTCCAGAGGCCTCCCAGTACCTGAAGGGGCTCCAGGAAGGCTCGGGAGGGACTTTTCATAAGGGCAGGGAGTGACACAACAAGGGGTGATGGCTTGAAACTGGAAGAGGGGGGGTTTAGATTAGATATTAGGAAGAAACTCTTCACTGTGAGGGTGGTGAGAGTGTCCCAGGTTGGCCAGAGAAGCTGTGGCTGCTCCTCCCTGGAAGTGTTCTCGGCCAGGCTGGATGAGGCTTTGGGCAACCCGGGCCAGGGGAGTCCCTGCTGCTGGCAGGGGGGTTGGGACTGGATGAGCTTTAAGGTCCCTTCCCACCCAAACCAGTCTGGGATTCTATGAAGTAAACAGAAATGATCACACAACAACATCATTATATTTATGTCTAATTAGCACCACTGATTCAGCTCGTTAGCTCATTTAATTCTGCGAGCTCATCTGCAGAGTCACACAGCTCACAAATGCCATCCCCCATTTCCCCAGCACTAACAACTTGCTGCTCACACCGCCATGAAAATCCAAACAGTATTTACACCAGTCTAGAGATGGAGCCTCAAACTCAATTATAAGTTCAACTCACCGCCAAACTATCAGAGCACCAAAAAAAGGAATTCCTTCACTGGAGCAAACTGACCTCATTGCCTGGACATCCACATGCCAAGAGGAAGAAAATAACTTCATGCTGCTCAATAAAACATCACTGGCCTCCAAATCTGCAGTGCCCTCCCCAACAACAGCAACGGAAGGGAAACCCACACTCACCGTTGTCTTTGTTGTCTCTCAGAAACTTTTTTACGACGCATTTGAACTGAAAAATGGTTTCCTTGTTCGGTATTTCGTGTCCCATTGTCAAGATCTTTGAGTAGCACAGTGTGGCTGGGAGCTCCTACAAGAAAGAAAGTCAATAATTTCCTGAAAAAGCATAAGAATTCTCATCAGTTAGAGAACCACAGACCGTAAGACGGAAGCCATCAAGCTTTTCAACTAAGCCCAAGGGAGCAGCAACAGAGTTTGGGGTAAAAAACCCTCCTGTTTCGCTCCCTCGATACAGCACCAATATTCCAGATCAGCCTCTTTGCATCTTTATTTCTTCTGCCTTTGCTCTTTCCTCCCTGGGGAAGATGAAGCACTATCCACACACTTAATACCATGAGCCAAAGCTGGTTGTAATCAGCTCTTCACTCAGGAGAACCTAGAGAAACCAGCTTTAGGATATCCTAAAACTTGTGCTGGTTGGTAAAAATTGGGATTTTCAGGATTTGGAGTGAAGCCCCCAGGTCTGTACTTGATTGAGGACAAAGACCCCATCCCAACGGGGCTGCAAAGCTCCACATCATCCCCCTGCCAGAGGATTCCAGTAAATTTATCTTCATAGAATCCCAGACTGGTTTGGGTTGGAAGGGACCTTAAAGCTCACCCAGTTCCAACCCCCCTGCCAGCAGCAGGGACACCTTCCACTAGACCAGGTTGCT